TTAGGTTACCTAAATACCTAACGGTACACAAAAGGTTGTGATGCTGCATTGTTTAGGAAATAATAATAAGGAAAAGTAAAGCCGATGAGCGCATGCATGTGTATATAGTACAAGATTCCATTTAAAATGTATTTTCAAACTAAGGTTGGTTGAATCTGGAGAACCCACACATATGGAGGGCAGATTGTATTTGGTAAATTGAAGAGGCCAGCTTAGCGCCTGTGGCAATACTACCAGGGCCTCACAATTCTAAGTCCGATTTTAAAGTTTTCATCTTGAAGGATTAGTAGATCACATTTATTGCTGTGAGGGTGGTGATACCGCCAGTTTAATTCACCTAAATGCCTTCATGAAAAAGGAAGACAAATGGAAGTCCTAAGTCACCCATCACTTCCTCAGTGGTGACTTCAGGTGAACGACAGTCCATAAACACGTGGGTGTCTGCCAACTGCCTTAGACGTGCGAGGTGGTGGAAATACACTGGTAAATGAACTCATATGTATGAGATGTGACTGAAAAATAGGGTGAATGTTTAAGCTTAAAACATTCTTACGGTAAAAGGCACATTGCCATTCGGTGCCTTCAAAACATTTGCCCTGGCTTTGAATATTATCCTACTGTTTTCACCACTTTCTGAAGTAGTTCTGAAAGCTTTTTCATGAGTGTCTTTAGTTGCATTGTTGTGACTGCCCTGATGTCCTGAACTGATTCAAAACATTTTCATTGTGACATATGACTTTAGGGGAAGAGCCAGAAGTTCCACTAGGTCAGATCTGCGAATAAAGTGACCAAAGACACTGTAATGCTTTTACAAGCCTGCTTTTACGCTGGATGACACTCAGCAGAAGCATTCACTGTAGTTTTGATTACACCTTGTGAAGACCCTCATGACAGAGGACTTCCAGAGCTGTCTCAGAAAGTGAGAAGAGGGCCGGGGATTTAGCTCAATGGTTCTGCCTCCTGCCAAGTTCGATCCCTGGTACCAAAAAAAGAAAAGAAAGTGAGAAGAATGATGGGATAAGTGAGTTTGAAGCAAGGGAAAACATTCTGAAAGGGATTAATGTAAATGTGTCTTTTACTGTAGTTTTTAAATTTAAACATACAGTGTGTGTGTGTGTGTGCATGTGTTTTGGTACTGGGGATCAAACTCAGATCCTTGAGCTGGCAAGGCACGCGGTGGAACCACTGAACTAAATCCCTGGCCTTACACTGTGTTTTTTGATCAGTTTTTTTTTTTTTTTTTGGTACCCGGGATTGATCGAACTTGGGACCTTGCACTTGCAAGGCAGGTGGTGGAACCACTGAGCTACATCCCCGGCACTTTTAATCAGTCTTTATACTCAGCTTGCCCTTTGCTGCAATTATGAGGCCTGTTCCTAATACTTATCTCTGTTACTGCAGAAAACCTGGTTCATCTCAGGATTTCCTTGCTCATGTGTAAAATGGGGATAATTTAGCACCTGGGAGAACTTTACAACATGCAGCCACTAAATGCTAGTGAGTCTCCCTCTGATTTGAAAGACTTCCACATACTCAATCTTACATGGGGTTTCTGTAAATACCGTATTAATGTTCACTGTCACTGACAGAAAAGACGCACTTAGACTACTGCAAGATAGGTAACGCATTCTCAGCTTCACTACACACCAGGGCCTGCCAAAGCCAGAGCCTGGGTCTAAGACCATGAATCATCCTTGGTATGTGACACAATGTTGTTTGAGGATACGTACTTAACTATGACTATGCTGAACATGTCTGTTCAGCAACATGGAACTTATTTTAGCTTAAAGAGAAATCTGTTTAATTTTGCAGGGATATTTTGTAAAGATTCAAAGATCCAAAGAAGATGAGAAAAAAAAATGCTTTAAAAAATTATTTCTTAATGTTGGACCTGAGGCAGTCAGGAAAACAGAAGAGGGATTTTTGGTTTCACTTCATAATTAAGTGATATAAATTCCATTAGTGAAAAAAAGTACTCTATTGTTTTAGTATCAAGTGTGACATTACATTGTTTTTTAGCCACCTTGCTTGCTATCACTTTCGAAAGGCATTTACTGTTCTACTAACAAAACCGCCAAGGGGCCGGGGATTTAGCTCAGTGGTCCTGCTGCCTGCTGCCTACCTCGTAAGCATAAGGACCCGAGTTTGATCCCCGGTACCCCCCCCCGCAAAAAGCAACAATAAAACAACAACAAAAACCCACACAAACTGCCAGAAGATCCTCCATATAATTTTGAGCAAGTTGTGTTCTTACTTTGAGTTCTGGCCAGATGGCACGGTCTTCCCAGGGAAGCCCTCTTAAGAATACGCTCCGGTGGAGACTAACTGGGGCTAAATCATACATTATAGTTTAAAATCTACCACAACCTGGTAGGAGCCTATGACTTTGCCTAAGTTACCTATCGTTTGGGTTTTTCTCCTTACCTCCAAAATGAAGAAATGCCTATCTTGAAGGCATGTTAATTAGGTCTGGACCTAAGAATTGTAAAGCTCCTAGTATATAAAAAGTGCAGAATAAACAGTAGCTATAATCATCTCAGAATGGAATTTTACTATAATTTCACATTTAAGTAGAAAATTCCTAAAAATGAGACTCAAATTTATTCTTTGGTCTCCAGCTATGAGCAAAATTTTGCTCAGAGAAAATCAACTACTGATAGAGTCAATATAAAACTAGTAAAAGACTAGTATAATAGACACCACTTCAAGGAATAACCTACTCTAAGAAATCTGTTACTGCTAAGTGTGGGCCCTTGGAGCTTATGTCCTAATGATTTTTTTCAGAAAGAAATGCATGAAAACTCTCAAGCAGGTCCAAGACAGCATCACAACCGTACACAACTATTTATAAGCATCTAAGGAAAACTGAGTCAGGGTCTTGAGAGAAAATGCCCAGACATGGCCATGGCTGGTTTACTCTGGGACAGCCCCCATGTGACATTTGAAAGCAGGAGGTCATATTTGATGCCACCTGTTCAGCTAAGAGCTCTATCCCATTCACCAGACACTACACTAACCAAGCAATGTTCTCATATAATTTTGGCTTCCAGGGTATTCTTTTCCACAGATAAGGTATTGTCTTTTAATTAACTTCTCACAAGTGGCAGGCCTAGTATAAGTAACAGAGAAAACAATGACTCTGCCATATTTTTGTCCTCCGACTACCAAGTATTTTACCAAACATTTGAATAGATTTCAAAAAATGATGTATCATTTCCCCCCAACAGATACAGCATCTCTAAAATAACCTTGAAACTTTGACCTCAAAGCACGGGGGTGGGGGTGGGGGTGGGGCAGGGACCCAGTTCCTCTTCCTGTGCTGTTTCTTCTCTGGCAGTCCAGAATAAGATTCAGCGTGTTTTCTAATTTGTCCTAGCACGAGGTCTGGAAGCCAAGCCTTCTGAAGCCCCTGGCCTGAGATGAGAAACCACAGCGGGTGTGTCTGTGGGAGCCCCATACGGACCCCAGGTGGCCCTTATCAGCACATCTTCAGGCACTTATTTAAGTAACTCAAGACGCAGGATGTTATCTCCCATTTCACTTTTCTCTTTTCACAATCCAGCCTGTGCATTTTCATTCTCTGAGAAGCCTGCCCTGCACGAAGAATGTTTTTGCTGAGGCTCACTTTACTAGAATACCAGTTCAGCCAACCCTTCTGCAGGGAGGAAGGTCGGCCTGTGGGGTGGGGGCCGTGACTGGTCACGATTGCTTCTTTAAATATAAGAACGAGGAGGGGTCTCACGATGGACTCTCACGCACCCTGCAGCGCTGGCTCCCACACTCCCGCACCTAATGCTCTGCTCCACGCGTGCTGCTCCACAGCTCCTCAACCTGCCGCGCCCCACCGCGCTCAAGGGCAAAGGGAAGGTCACTCGCAGGGTGGGCACAAGGCTAGGGCACTGGGCTCAACCTCTGAGCATCCCTCTGCGGTGCTCAGGAGGGAATACCGTATGGGGCAGAGGGAAGGAGGGGAGATAAAACCCCCAATCCAGCTCAGGGAACCTGTGTCCAGTCTGCTTGATCTTTAGGGCTGATCTGCTCTGCCCTCGCCCGGGATTAACAGGAATGTGGAAACCCCACCTTCTGGGAACTCTGGCGCCCCCTGGAGCGCCCACAGCGCGAGGCCCGGGGCCGCGGCCGAGTCGTCTGTCCTTGCCCCCCACTTTTAAACGTTCTCCTGGAGAATACATGCCGAAGGGCCCGGGTTTGGGTTCCTTCCGCTTTGCAGTCAGCCTCCACGAAGGCGTGAAAGGGAAGCCCGGAGCCCGCGCCCCGGCTGCCGCTGACGTCCCGGAGTCCCTGCTTCCTGGTCTTTCCCGTCCAGGGGAGGCTGGCGGGGAGGGCCTAGTGACCCGTCTCAGTTTTCAGTTTTATCACCCGCCGGAAGCCGACTGGAGATAGGAGCGGGGAGAAAACCCCTTTTTCCCCTTTTACTCTCCCAGCGGAAATGGGAGGTGCTACAGCGCCGCTGAGGCGAGACCCTCGCGAGCCCCCAGCGC